AATGGATTCAGCTTCTTCATTTTTAGGGCCTAAGGTCCTGAAATTTGGTATGGAGGTACAGTGGGCAAATACCCCTAGGCGTTTTTTAAATTTTTGTGATACAGGCTTTTAGAATGGTTTTATTTGAGTTTTTTGGCTGTGTTATAGCAAATGTATTACTGTGTTAGTGTGCCGTGTTAACCACGTCTGGGCATGAATCATCACAATGGAATGCAGGGCATACAACCAATAGGCATGCAGCTTTCCTCTATACTTCTTGCTGATTGGCTGTTGGGATTTAACTTGATTAACACCTGCACAGAGCATTTCCACCTGCACAGAGCATTTCTTGCTGATTGGCTGTTGGGATTTAACTTGATTAACACCTGCACAGAAGCATTTCCATACTGACAGTATGTCTGTATTCAAGTGTTTTGGTAGGTATTTCAAGCTTTCCTGCTCCAGCATTGGAATGCGGGGCAAGAACGTTTTTTATTTATTTTGAAAATCAACAGTTTGCATTATGCAATTAAAAATCCTAACCAATAAAGTAGGGAATAGCTATCCAACTGTTGTTTTAGTTGTATGTTACTTCATATTATAGTTATATCAATGTAAATCATTGTTTTCCCTTGTGTTTCTCATTCTTTCCCTGCCATGTCGTAAAATGTGGTGAACCCATCGCTGTATTTGCTCCAAAGCAAATATGGCCTTTCTAGTTACAATATATATCTTTTTTGATACTTACTTCTAAAACATCCAACAAGGTTCCTATAAATAAGCAAAGCTCAAACAAAAGAATAGTAACACAGACTATATTGCCACTATATTGAGGTATATTTGCCCTAAGAAACAGATATCAAAGAAACAACGTAATCAGAATGGAGAAATGTGTTTTACTGTTAGTACAGCTTTGTAAAAGAAAGCCGTAAGCAAATTCCACAATTAGAATTTTTTGTGGTATTTATTTAGGCCACACCAATTTAATTTCTTGATTAACGGATTTTTCTACAAAAATAATTGAGCGGACGGGCGAAAAAAAAAATAAAAATAAAAACAGGCCTTGGCATCCTATTATGGCCCAAAATGGTACGATAGGAGCTATTAAGTAAACACACCAGGCTGGTTCAAAATTTAAACAATGAATTTTGAACTTTTAATGATACCATTGCATTGAAAGATGGAATAACTGTAACAACTAGGAGGAAAGGGACTGTTTTGAACTGTTCGGGGCAAAATATGAGCATTTTGCTGTTGATTCTGAATTTTTATTTTTATTTGCAAATCAGAAAAAAATGAAGCGTTAACCAAGAAATTAAATTGGTGTGGCCTTATTTATGAATTTTGTTGAACTACTTTGGTCTTGGTTTACTCTCTAAACCACGAATCCATTTTCATATATATTGTAAACCCCTATTACATAACTTGTTTGATCTTCCTAAAGGGCAACCAAATAGTATGAAAAAACACAGCGAACCCAGTGCAACACATCTTGTGAACTGGTCCAGCGCTGCCTTGCTCATGGTGTAGGCAAGACTTCCAGTAAACTAAGGGAATAAATCGATTCACAGTTTGAGATATGTGCGCGACATGTAAATAAAACTCAGCTCTGGCTATTTATCTCACTTTTCTTAGTTCAGATAAGGCCACACCGACTTAATTTTATGCATAACATCCTCTGAAGACCCCCAAATTAGTGCGCGCGGGTGAATAAAAATAATTCCGGCCAAAAATGAAAATGCTACTAAACTACAGGAATACAAAACTGGTATTGTGAATTTGCGTCAGTACTTAGCGACGTATACGACAAGCCGGCACATGCTGGCTGTTTGCGGCATTCATGAGTCGGTACTGTACTGAGTTCTTCAGTCATGGCGCTTCTGCAGTCGTGTTGTCGCTTACCACAATGGACTACCGAAGCCTTGAGCCAGGCCAGTCCCTCGCACCTTTTTTTATGAGAACAGGCGAAAATCAATGCGCACGCGGTAAGAAAATTAATACAACCTCTTACTAAAAAAAATGAGTTAACATCTCTCTTTCTCATTTTTTTTACTTTTTTACTGAGTTCTTGAGTCGTGGAGCTTCTGCAGTCGTGGAGCTCCGGGCTCCGTATTGTCGCTTACCACAATGGGCTAGTCAGGCCTAGAGCCAGGCCAGAGCCTCGCACCTTTTTTTTTTGAGAACTGGCGAAAATCAATGAGCGCGGATGTCATCCATAAAATTAAGTCTTGTGGCCTAAGAACATGTATTTACATCTTAACACGTGTTGACCTTTACCCGTGTTAACAGGTAAGAAAATTAATACAACCTCTTTCTAAAAAACGAGTTAACACCTCTCTATCTCATTTTTCACTGGCTGTAGATGGAGAAGTTCGGAAAGCTAAGGTCACATGGACTTGACAGAGAAACAAACTTACCGATCGTATCCCATTAACGCTGGACACATTCACAATGGCCCCTGTAAGGGACAAAAGGTTGAAAGTGTATTTATATATTTATATATTTATATATTTATATATTTATATATTTATATATTTATATATTTATATATTTATATATTTATATATTTATATATTTATATATTTATATATTTATATATTTATATATTTATATATTTATATATTTATATATTTATATATTTATATATTCATATATTCATATATTCATATATTCATATATTCATATATTCATATATTCATATATTCATATATCTATTTATTTGTTTATTTGTTTATATATTTATTTGTTTATATATTTCTTTCTTTATATAGCAAGTGGCCCGCGTACTTTTTCAAAAGAGTAATGTCTCATGAGTATTTGTACCAAGTTTGGTGCTTGTATCACAATTTGAAAGATTCCTCCAAAATTTGATGTTATCTGCTCCACTAACATTTCTGGAAACCCTTGAGAAGACCCAGAAGACCTGTCTGCCATGGGTGGCCCTACTTTCTGTGACCCCGGGTCTCGTTCACTATACACTCGGGGGAGGAGTGCACTGTAAAATCATAAAACGATGGCAGTGCCATGCAAACAATAACCCTAACATAAACCACCGTTGCCATGGCAATGTATGTTTTCATTGCCAGTCTTGTTAACCCTAAACAGTACACCTGGGGTCCGCGCGGACCCCAGCACTATATATTCTGTAATATCTTTTTTGTTTCTAAAGATTTTTTTTGAAATTTTAGGTAATTGTCACCCACAAAGTTGTCTCTCAATACAGTGCAGAAAACTCCATTTCTACCATTTCTAAAAAAAATTATATCTGATTCGATCATAATGGATACACTGGCGTTCTTATACATTACCTTATTTCCGTTTTTATATGTTTCTGTGCACTCATCGTATGTCTACCAAGTTTTCAGAGAATGGTGTAGTAATAGAATTAAATTTTAATAACTTTGGTGTAATTAAGACGTCAGATGACGTCAGAGCTAATAATATAGTCCGCCATATTGGATTTTGACCAATGACGTCATCAAATTAGCATATTCTATGCATATTAAATGATTTAACTTATATTTAATTATGTAAGATGTTATTAATGTTGGAAAAGAAGTGTAATTATTACCTTCGCCAAGAAGGTTATGTTTTCGTAGGCGTTCGTGTGTGTGTGTGTCTGTCTGTTTGTCTGTCTGTCTGTAAACACGATAACTTGAGAAGGCTTAAATGGATTGACTTCATATTTGGTAGGTGGGTAGGTCTTGATGAGACCTCGAAATGATTAGATTTTGGGCCCCCTGGCGGCTTCTTATGGTACTGCAGCTGAACTTCCGGTTTTGATATCTCGTGATCTGGACGTGCTAGGGTCACGAAATTTGGATGGTAGGTAGGTCTTGTGCTGGGAAATAAGTGACATAGGTTTGGGCCCCCTATCGGCTTGCTCAGGAACTGCAGGGCCATTTCTTTGAAAATATTCATAAGAGGATAACTCAAGAACCGGTGGACGGATCATCATGATTTTTGTTATGTAAGTAGCTTAAGTAATGCTTGACATAATTATGCGACAATTATGCAAATCTGGACGTAATTTGCATAATTAATGAGGAAATTCGGTAAATCAGCTGCATTACATTATAGGACTATTCAAGCTTGAGACATATGTAATTGACAACGAGAAAAACACAGGCAGATATTAATTATGTAAATCAACGCTTAATTTGCATAATTAATGAGAAAATGTTATAATTCCATAATGGTAACTGCCTGGAATTTCATACTTAGGGTATTTGCAAGTTAAGTGAATGTGAACATCATTAAACATAATTTATTCAAATAAGGACCTCATTTGCATAATTTATGAGGTAATGATAGAATGGCTTTCTTTTTTAAGATAAGGCTGTCTTTTATGGATAATATGATCAACTCATATAATTCATGCAAATGAGGATCCTATTTGCATAATCAGGAGGAATAATCTTTACTTTGTCATAAAGATTAACATCATTTGGCGAAGGTATGAGATCGTGGGACTCTAGTTTAATATAAAACTCAGAAAATTTTCATGTTTAAACCAAAATTACTTCTAATTTCAAAAAAAACTGCCTGCTAGAAACCCGTTGCTATGGCAACACAAAAAAACATCAACTTACTAGTATTAAACTAATATGAACTTTTTCCAGAGACATTTTAGGATAGGTCTCCAAATTTGATACTTCTAGCGCAAGCCGTTTAGCCGCTATCTGAGATCAAAGTTGGGCCTCAAAAGCCCCTTCAGTCTGAAATGGGTTTAAAAATAGGGTATTTCTTCTTGTCTTCTTTGTCTTCACCAAAAAATAGAAAAAGTTCAAAATGTATGATATTTGTATGTAATGTGGACACAGAGGTTCCCACATCAGTTTGCAAAACAATTGAGCTGGTAGCATGTTGATAATTTCTAAAAATTAGCAAAAACTGTTCTGGGGTCCGCGCGGACCCCAGTTGTACAGATTAATCAGTCCGGGAAGGTGTTCTGTTGAGGGTTAAGTAAAACTTCAGGAACCTTTAGTTTCTGTGAGATGTGGCACACACAACTGAGTCAAGGCTACCACACTGCGCACGTTAACGTTCATCACTCTGTCATACTCCGCCATGTCTGTTGTCTCTATGGTAGCCGCGCGCTGGCTTATTCCTGCATTGTTGACCTGTATGGATATATTGACACGTAATTAAATAAAATGGTTTGCCTTTGCAAAGAAGAAAAGAATGGATCCATCACACAAAATAATAGGCAGACATATTTGGCTGATGTTTTCCAGGTTTTCCTAGTATTTTTCCTAGTATAAAGTTCTGACAAGTCATATTTTCAGGGGGGAAAAAAGAAAAAGAGGAGACATCAAAAATGCAGATATTTAATAGAATTTGCATCTAGTTCCTTTTTGGTCGAACTGCTTATTGCCATTTAATTATTGGACGAACTATAATTGCCATGCTCTCATTGGCTGAACTGCTAATTGCTATCTTTTATTGGTTGAGCTGCTCATTGCCTGCTCTCATTGGTTGAACTGCTAATCGCCATGCTCTCATTGGTTGAGCTTTATTTAATATACCATTCATTGGTTAACAGCTAATTGCGTTGTATAGCTATATTCAAAGACATCATTAGCTAGTTCCATACCAGCACATCTATCCTGCCAAACTTCTGGATAGTTTGTTCCACCAGGTTTTTCTGCACTTGTTCATCACAGATGTCTCCTGTCACCAGCAGAATCTGATTGAGAAAAATAATGTATGTTCACCAAAACAAATAAAATTAACAAAAAAACTCTGAATTTAGGAATATGAAATCATGTCGATAAGGTAATGTACCCTCTGCCAGTGACGTTCTTTCGGATAGGACGTAAAGCCGGAGGTCCCGTTTGTAATGAGAGCCACACCCTGAGCACTTTATAAAGACCACCACACGTATAAAAAGATTAGGGTTGTACTTTTAAGTACATTTAAAAAAAAAACTACCGGAGTTGGTTGTATGGAAATAAAGAAGCAACTAAACAAATAAGCACCTTGTCCTGCGGAGTCCCTGCCTCCACACAGGCCTTTGCTGTGGTCTGCAGGTTTTCCTGGTTTCTCCCAGTCAGAGCCAGGTGCGCTCCTAGCTGAGCAAATTCCACAGCTGTCCCCTTCCCGATGCCAGAACTTACACCTGGTAAAAAGAAAAAGAAAATCTTACCGTTCAGTTGTACTCTTGGGCATGTCTATTGCTTCCTGTACTAGGTTGAAGTCAGGGTCTATATTCTTCCAAAATTCTGAATTCAGTGATTTTTATGAATCCCCTGTCACAGTCAAGACCTTCCTCCAACATTGCCCCGAACACTAGCCAACCAAGATCGACTGAAGTTCGTGAGCAGCCTAGCCAGATTTAGACCATGACTACTTTAAAAATTTCTATACGAATCGGAACTAATTTGATAGAGTTAGATTATGACAAATTTAAAATATGACAAAAGTGCGGCCGTGGCTGGTGCTCTGCTGACTTGCTAAGTACATCCGAACAAACATGGCCAAACCTCTAAGTTTTGATCAATCCCAGTATGTTTTAAACATTTGAAAAATTCGGATTGATCAGCCAAATATATTGTAGCCAATATAATAATCAACAAGCGTATAAGCGATTCCACTCTACTTCTAGTGCGCTTATACAAATGACCGACTTCTGGTTGGACGAGATTGACAAGCATTAGGGTAACTTGGTAGGCGCTGTCTTGTTAGATCTTAGTGCGGCTTTTGATGTAATTAATCACGACATCTGTTTGGCCAAACTGAATAGTTATGGCTTTGCACAATCTGCCATAAACTGGACAAGAAGCTACCTAGAAAACAGAAAACAGGCAGTTTTTGTAAATGGATCTTTATCGTCATTCATAGAAACAAAATGTGGCATACCTCAGGGCAGCTGCCTCGGCCCCCTACTGTTTTGCATCTTCACAAACGACCTGCCCATGGTAACTAACCGGAGTACAGTAGTTATGTACGCAGATGATTCAACCCCATCCACATCAGCTTCTGATATAACAGGATTACAAGATTTGTCACGGATATGGGACTGGGTGAGAACAAACTAGTTCTCCACGCTCGACCTCTATGAAAAGCGGCCGAAATAGCGGCCGATTAGAGCATGTAACACAGTTACATATCGAGTTGAAATAAAGGCTCAAACAAACAAACAAACAAACAGTTCTGAACATTGGTAAAACAAAATCAATTGTCATGGGTACGCAACAGAGACTTAAAAGGGAACCAAAACTGCAACTTTCCGTTGATGGAATAAGCATTACACAGGTCGAAGATGCAAAATTACTAGCCCCCCAATATGTTAAAAACTGTACTACAGACCCTGGTTCTATCTCACCTTGACTATTGCTGTGCCCTTATGTCATCATCGCCACAAACTCAAATAGACAAACTACAAGTAGTGGAGAACCGAGCGGCTAGGCTAGCAACAGGTGCACGTTGGGATGCCGACTTGGATATCTTACACACCCAGTTAAACTGGCCCTCAGTCAAAGAGAGATTGTTTACCGGCACAATCAACACATTTCATAAAGTAGTGAGAGAGAAACAGCCTAGATGTATTTTCAATAGACTAAAAACAATTAATTTGGCACATTCGCACATCACTAGACTGGCACAGAAAGGAGCATTCCAGCAATCTAAACCTAGAACCAACGCCATGACTCGGACTTTCGTACACAGGTGCATTAAAACATACAACACTTTGCCTACTCACATCACATCCTCAAACCCACGAACGTTTAAAGAACAAATCTAAAACTGGACAAAAACACATAAAAACAAACACACACCAATTAACTCCTTGTGGTAAACGTTTTGAATGTATTTTGTACAAATTCATGACTTCTGACCTCTCAGACATTTAGTACATAGTTGCTTTTTTGGTTAACTGTATATTGTAATATTATTAATTGATGTATTAATTGATGCTTAATGTGTAATTTTTTTATTCCAACATGTAATTACCAGACGTGGTGACGACACACTCAATTTTTTTCAACCTACTATTAATGCCGCCACAGGGGACAAATACATGACAGGACAATACTCATTTACACCTGAGCTACAATGTAAGTGAGGAAAGCCGTGTAAAATGCCTTTCCCAAGGGCACAAGATCGGTGGCATGTCAGGACTCGAACCCGGGACTCTAAGTTCCGAGTTACTATGTTGATAAGATAAGTTTTCTTGATAGCAGTTAAACGTGTATGTAGATAATAGTTAATGTATTTTATGTAAAGGACTCCAGGAAGAATAGTGATGTATCATCACTAATGGAGCTTCCTAAATAAACAAACAAACAAACAAGTCGACCTCGCCAAACCTCAGACGACCAAGTTGACTTTGCTCCGACCTACTCCTAACTACGTTTGGGGGACTTCGGCCAGTGCTCGGGAGGCCATGATGAATGTGTGACAAAATAGTCAAAGTCATCAACCAAGCCAAATCAGCACCATTTATGGAGCGGTATATGACAAGTTTTGATTTTCTTTATAGCCTACCAGTCAGTATTACTTTTACTGTAAATCATAGACCACCGGATATGGTCTCTCTCTGTGTGTGTTACCTCCAAAATAATGGATGGGCCTAAAATAACTCAACAAACAACTGTTTCAACGCTTAATTGTCTCTCCATTTTAGCATGGTAACATAATGATTACACTTTACCCAAGCAA